GCTGCTTACTCCAACGTTGGAGTAGGAGCGTGCCCTAGTAGGGGGGCTGCTGCTAGTATCCAACGTTGGAGTAGAAGACTAGTAGGGGGGCGCACTCCAACGTTGAGTAGGAGCGTGCCCTAGTAGGGGGCTGCTTACTCCAACGTTTGAGTAGGAGCGTGCAGTAGTAGGGGGCTGCTTACCCACGTTGGGTAGGAGGTGCCCTAGGAGGGGGCTGATTACTCCAACGTTGGGAGTAGGAGCGTGCCCTTAGTGGAGTAGGCGTGCCCTAGTAGGGGGCTGCTTACTCCAACGTTGGAGTAGGAGCGTGCCCTAGTAGGGGGCTGCTTACTCCAACGTTGGAGTAGAAGCGTGCCCTAGTAGGGGGCTGCTTACTCCAACGTTGGAGTAGAAGCGTGCCCTAGTAGGGGGCTGCTTACTCCAACGTTGGAGTAGGAGCGTGCCCTAGTAGGGGGCTGCTTACTCCAACGTTGGAGTAGGAGCGTGCCCTAGTAGGGGGCTGCTTACTCCAACGTTGGAGTAGGAGCGTGCCAGGGGGCTGCTTACTCCAACGTTGGAGTAGGAGCGTGCCCTAGTAGGGGGCTGCTTACTCCAACGTTGGAGTAGGAGCGTGCCCTAGTAGGGGGCTGCTTACTCCAACGTTGGAGTAGGAGCGTGCCCTAGTAGGGGGCTGCTTACTCCAACGTTGGAGTAGGAGCGTGCCCTAGTAGGGGGCTGCTTACTCCAACGTTGGAGTAGAAGCGTGCCCTAGTAGGGGGCTGCTTACTCCAACGTTGGAGTAGGAGCGTGCCCTAGTAGGGGGCTGCTTACTCCAACGTTGGAGTAGGAGCGTGCCCTAGTAGGGGGCTGCTTACTCCAACGTTGGAGTAGGAGCGTGCCCTAGTAGGGGGCTGCTTACTCCAACGTTGGAGTAGAAGCGTGCCCTAGTAGGGGGCTGCTTACTCCAACGTTGGAGTAGGAGCGTGCCCTAGTAGGGGGCTGCTTACTCCAACGTTGGAGTAGGAGCGTGCCCTAGTAGGGGGCTGCTTACTCCAACGTTGGAGTAGGAGCGTGCCCTAGTAGGGGGCTGCTTACTCCAACGTTGGAGTAGGAGCGTGCCCTAGTAGGGGCTGCTTACTCCAACGTTGGAGTAGGAGCGTGCCCTAGTAGGGGGCTGCTTACTCCAACGTTGGAGTAGAAGCGTGCCCTAGTAGGGGGCTGCTTACTCCAACGTTGGAGTAGGAGCGTGCCCTAGCCCTCTCAATCCATGTCGGCACAGTTTATGGTCATGGCTATGACAATCTGTAGCGTGCTCTTTTGGCATGACCTCAAAAATCATAGCTTTTGTGGAATTATGTATTTTGGGGATTATATATAATACATATAATATATAGTATATATATATAGCTACTAATTATATATATATATATATATATATATATATTAGCTAGTAGTACTAGTGGTAGTAGTAGTAGCAGTAGTAGGAGTAATAGTAGTAGTAGTAGTAGTAGTAGTAGTAGTAGTAGTAGTAGTAGTAGTAGTAGTAGTACTAGTTACTAGCATACAATGACTATAAGAGTATATATAGTACGAGACATATATTAGCACTAGTAGAAGAAGCACTACTGGTATATATATACACGTTGTACTACTAAAGCGCTGTAGGGATAAGCGAACCACACAAACCGCAAAACCCCCCACTCCCTTCAAATCGGCGAGGTGTTGTTGCAAGATGCAGCGGTCGTCGTGCATGGCCATTCTCAAGCGAGTGTGTCCGCTTTACTCATGCAAATAGCTTAAGCTGTGCTGCACGGCTTTTATCCAAAAAAAATAAGTGCCAGCTAGCAGGTAGCTTTCTCGGCTATAGACACAGAACGAAATCGATCCAAGCCCTCAGGCAGTTCTTTAGGCAGTTCGCATTTTGTCCCTCCTGTGTTCGGTGTGTCATGTGATGTGGGCGGCACATATACATGGATATATTGGTGATGCAGCAGCTGTGTATCTCGGCTAAAAATGTCACAGTGTGCAGACACCATTGGCACTAGCTGTCTTGCATGTACCGTATTTGCGAGTGAGTCCGAGGTATTGGCTTTGGTGGCAGCACTGGCGACAATCGACATTTGAGGCATTTACTGCTGATTTGTTTCCAACGAATTTCGTCTAGACATTCATTAATACTCTTGCCTTTCCGTGGTCAGGCCGAACTGATGCAGGCCATCCGGGTGGAATGGATCGTGGACTTGCCATTCGAGGCCGAGCTGGTCTCTCGGCTGAAGCTGCAAATTCTGTAATTTCATCGGGTTTATCGAGCAGTTCAGGCTTGCAAGGCCACGTGGAACATCTTCGAAGTGCTGCAGAACAATATCGTGAATCCAATCCACCACTGGAAACTGGAGGATTGGATGATGAGCTGGGTGCGACCTACCCCATGCATCTGTGTGTGCAGTGTGGTGCTGCTGTGTGCATGTAAACGTGATATGTATGTGCATGTCGGCATTTAAGCTTTTTGTGGCCTGGGCCTGTCCCCTCAGCTGTGCTTTGCCTGGAGGTGCGGGTACATTCTTATAACACAGCATATATGTTTACATGTACGATTCTGCAGGTTTCGTGCACCATGGCCTTGGAGCACCCACGATTCATGGAGCGACTGCTGTTGGAGGAATCGGCTTTTGGCCTAGGTCTTGCTTGCTTCAATTTTTGGTTCATTTCCTGTTGTCGCGAGGACTTTCTGAACCAATGGCTCACGAGATCCGACGGTGTGCTACCAAGTATCAGGAAAAACAAGGACCAGCATAGACAGTTCTATGTATTATGCGTACATATGTGTGACTAGCACGACAATATATATAATGTGTAGTTCTATCGATGCAGGACCGGGCAATCCTGCCGATCCCGCCAAGTGGAGTCTCGAGCGCAGCCATGGTGGGGTGCAATGTGTGGAGTGCAGTGTCATGAGTCACTAGACATGAGATTTCACTTACTTTCGTGCTTTCCCCTGGCCCTGCAGTGCGACGATAATTATGAATTTCTATGCAATTATTTTGCTACGCTGGGTGCGAAGCTTCCATGGTTCAGCAGCCACAAGGCCAGGGAATGTACCAGTGTGGAATCATATAATATAGAGCAGTAGTTGTTGTGTGCTCCGTGCACAGGTCGTGTTGCAAACTTTGGCAAAGCGCTATGCCATCTTTCCTGCCAATACCCGAAAAAAAATCATTCGGGCACCTTTTCTGCATATCAGTCATGTGCCTTGGCATCGAAGTCAGAGTATGCCATGCATGTGCACATCATATGCATTAAGGATTGGGCAGCTGCAGAAGCAACCACGATCAGGGGCATGGCTGTTCATGCCCTTCTATTGGCCAGACGGTCGAGCGGCTCTAAGCGGCTCAATGTATATATGATCGCATGCGAGGATTCGTGATATATATATATATATATATATATGTACATATCATCTATGTGCTAGCTTATGTCTGCCCGGATTCGTATGCTGAAAGAGCTGATTGGTTCTGTCATCGGTGCCTTGGATCATTATTGAGCGGGCCCCTGACGATTTCACTTTTATGTACATTCTATTGATACGAATGTAGCTATGCTATATCGCACTAAGGTGACACCGATGTTGAGGCCGCCATCGAGGCGGAGTTGCAAGCATCGCTGCAGGATAATTCCATGCAGGAGCATGGCCGTATTAGTGAGCTAGCCAGTACATGTCTCACAGTACGAGTGTTTCCCATTCGAACCGAAGCCCACCAATTTTTTGCCAACAGGAGAACTCAGCGGACTCGGCTTCCTCTCTCGAGCTTGCCAGCCGGCTGATTATCAAGCAAGCACTTCTAAGGTTTGGCTTCAGTGCCGGGGAGTTAAGTAGGGGTAATATAATCGAAAATATTTATATATATATATATATATATATATTTGTTTTTCTCTTAAGGCTTCGGGTTTCAGCTTACGGTGTTACCGGTACTAGGTCTGCATCCAGCGAGAGAGCAGCTGTGCACCGAGAGTGAACCACTGTTGAATTTGCTCCGCTTTGGGTTTGATATATAATTAACACCCTAGCAACCCTAAAACCCCAATCCTTAATCCACGATTACCTTATTATAATCACCCCTGAACACCTCAACCCGAAAACCCAAAGCCGAGCGAGGTACTAAACCCGGAGCCCCGTTCACAGTTATGCAGTAGTGCCTGGCTTTGGAGATATAGCCGGAATCCAGGCAATGCACAGCTAAACCCAGAACACTCGCCCGAAGAAGTTGTGCCTATATATGGTATATTAGCCACCTCGCTCCTCAATATAATGCCTATGTAGCTAGATCCCCTAAACCCTCGCAGCATCAGGACGACGGGCTGTCGAAAGATGCTGGCACCAAGCCGACCTGCCCGAAAGCTGCATGGCATTAACAACCGATCTGTAGCTATGTTGTAGGATCCGGGTGCACCAGCTAGTTTTTGTTCGGTAGTCTGAGGCTGTGCCGTTGGATGTTGACAATGTCGAGACTCAGCTTGACTTCTGGCAGCCTGACTTCTGGGAAACCCCGAAGAAGAATGAAGCTTTGGATGCTATCGATGAGGCGAGGATACTATGCTATGTAAACAGGTGGTGTCAGTGTAGGTCACTACTCACTTAGCTTATTCAATGGTGCAGGATATGGAGAAGGAGGAATCGAAGAGAGCGCCGATCCACACGACGGCGCCAGATCTGAAGTTGTCTGAGGCCATGCTGGCTGAGTTCAAGGAGGACTTGAATGAAGCGAAGACCAGTGGAGCTGTGGCAGAGCAGCTGGAGGCGCAAATGAAACCCTTTAGCCCAGCACCCCCTGAACCCTAAATCGTAAGCCGGACACGTGTTCATGAGTGGGGGCAACCGATACCTTGAGGCCTTATCCCTAAACCCGGAAAATCAACTGAACATCAAATCGAGTACTTCGATGCTCCAAACGTACTGATGAGCTCATCCACCTGTTCAGTCGACTTGGTGCATTACACGTACATTAGACTATAAAGCTGGGCAGGTGCAGAAAGCTGCACGATTGGCAGCAGCGGAAGCAAAGGTGGAAGCTGCCGCCCGCAAAGATGCCAGGATCGTGTCAAAGGGGTCTAAGGTGAAAACAGGGCGAGGGCGAGGCAGAGGCAGAGGGCGTGGTGAGACGAAGCCAGCCGAGAAGGAGCAAAAGGATGTGCAGGAGCAGGAGGAAGAGGAGAAGGAAGAGCCCCCAGCCCCGGTTCCGAAGGCCAAAGGAAAAGCCAAAGCTGCACCCAAAGCTGCAGCCAAAGCCTGTGCTGAACCAGCTGAAACCGAGCCAGCCGAGCCCGACGATGCAATCAAGTTCGACTGGGGTATGAAGGTGCTTTTTAATGTGATTGCATCGTTTTAATGCTTATATTGTATATATGATGCCTTGCAATTAGAGGCGGCGGAGCTGAAGCGGGGAGGAGTGCCCATCCCGCCTGGATTCAAAGGGGCCGCCAAGTCATACACCTTGGCAGCAGCAACATACCACGACGAGAACTCGGATGCCAGCTCGATCAGTGTTCTGTACTCTATCTGAAATATTGCCTCTGCTTATCGTTAAGCAGCCGAGCTGCAGTGCTAGAGTGATGCAGCAGCCAAGGTGGACCATCAATACGCTCTATGTGACGAAGACTATCAACAAAAAGGGCATTAATGTCAACAAGAAGGGAGGAAGCACGGTGTCCAAGGGCAAGTACGGCTCATGGAAGCAGTGCTGGAATGCCGCACGATATGCGGCAGGATGGACTGTGACTTGGATTTTATTCGTATCTCTGCTGCACTTAGCCCTAGCTACCTGGTTAAGTGACACGAGGACTCCTTTGAGGGCTGATGACGGATGGATGATTCGACTATGCAATCACCGGGATTTTGGATTGGCCGCTTGACTAAAGTTTAGCTACTTAAGCACGTAATTAGCCCTAAACCCTTCCCTGCTACTTTCATTTAAAACCCAGTACATATATAATATGTATGGCCCCCCACGTTTAATAATGAAACCAAAAACCTTAGCCTTAAACCCGGCTTGGGACCGGGAGCGGGGATGCACTGCCGGGCGCGAGTACTAGTACGGCTAAATCATATATCACTTAATTTTGAGGTCGGGGCCTCTGGATGTCATCGCATCGTTGCACTGCTGCAAGCCTGGGAGCTCAACCTGCAGCAAGAGGGAGAGAGAGAGGGAGAGAGAGCGAGAGAGAGAGAGAGAGTGCATGGTTTCACATGTTCTCGCCAACCTCCGAAATCCCTTGCTGTGCAGTATCGAACTGATCAGTGTTTGGATTACATTTCGGGGAAATCACAGCTACTAAACTTACTAAACTACACACCCTAGTGGCCAAACAAAAGCAACAACGGCGGCTGATGTATGTGCGATGTTGTTGACAATTTTTCAAGCTACACGCTGCTAGGCCGGCAGCACCTGTTGCCATGGCTGGGGAACCCCTCTATGTTTCTGGTCAGACTGCAGCTTTCCTGCTGAAATGTGGTGTGCCGATAATTGTGCCCCTTGGCCCACAAGAACAGAATCTTCATCGTGCCGAAGCTAGACTCACCCACACATCGGCCCATGCACGAACCGAGGATTCATGCCCTGGACTATATCTGTCAGTTGAATATGAGGCGGACAGAGTCCGAAGGCCAATGGACTCGAGACCCTTAACTCTGCAGTATGCCTAAATCGTGTGTCGTCGCTGCCTCTAGATCTAAACCCTGTGGAAGTGCGACTAGCTGTATGCTGCTGCCGAGGAGTTCCATGTCCTGGAAATGTTCTCTGGAAGCAGCAACCTGACCCGAGCATGCCGTACTTCGCCTGATTATCGTTGAGTCTTGCAGATGCAATATCGATGTGTGAGTCTGTGCTTTGGAGGGTCGTGAATCGGCCTCCATTTCCGAGGATCTGCGGGCTTGGTGTCGCAAGCCTCCGAAATTTGAGTGCATGTTACAGCATAGTCAGGTTCAGGATTGGGTTCATCGTTTACCTGCATCGGTCGTCTAAGGCAAAACTATGATATTATGCTTCGAGGAGATGTGAACGATATCCTCTCGGTCCAGGGTCTGCTCATTGCTCTACGGGATGTTCTCAGGTTGAGAAGGACAGGGCTTCTTTGGGGAGGTGTCCCCTGCAGCTCGAGGCTTGGCTTAATAAGCTCTAGCCACGCAAGAAACTATATCCCACAACACCCTAAAATCCCCTAAGCTATAGTAAACCCCAAGTCTCCAACCCAAACTCCGCACCCCCCAAACCCCTACAAAAACCATCCCATACAGTAATGTAGCTGCAACAAAGCTCACTAACTCCAGCTGTGGCACGACACTCCCCCCGAAGCCCAAAGTAATAACAACAATTCCCAAAAGCCTAATAAACCCCACACCATCCCAACTCAAGCCAACTATAGATTAATGGCCCACGACCATTAAGCTGAACAAACGACATTCACCCCCAAGCCCCAAATAATAACTAAAGCCCACAACACCCAAAGCTTAATAAACCCGAAGCCCACTAATCTAAAAAACCATCCAGTAAAGTGCGAGATTGCATCCGAGAATCATATATACATATAATAATTTTAATATTCATATTCTAAGCTGTCTCAGCTACAAAGCAGCTTCATTTCATGCTGTTAATACATATAGACCTGGACCTGTCGTAGCATTTGGTGTTCTAGTTAGTCTATATTCATGGATTGCTACATATATTGCATAACTTGCAGCTTTCAGCCCACCCCTTGCCGAGACCTAAGAGCCGCAGGAGGGCTGAAGGTATAGGTTTATTGGGGTTTCAGGATTAAGGGCACAATGGCCTGCATGGGTTAAGGGCTTTTAGTTTTCGGGTGCAGACACCGCACCGGTACCTACAGTTAAAGGGCAACTTGCCAAGGTCAGACCATATTAGATTTTGGGTGAGGTATAGGGGCCAGGGCCAAGAGCTAGTTAGGGTTTAGGCGGAATACATCAAGTTGGGGAGTTTCGGGTTAAGGGAGATTCTTAAAAAAATCGGGATTAGGTTCGTGTGATAGGGCCGGATCCAGGGCTTGCCCCGAGGATTGCATAGGTGCCATCGCCATGCACGGGACTCTTCGTGCTTTGCTTGAGTCCGCCAAACTGGCCGTCCACCCACAGCCCACACAGGGTCGCCTCGCAAATGAAGCCGTCATGTGGGTGTGTAATCCTTGGCGCCTGAGGACTTCTGTTGTGTCCGGTGTCGATCGGCTTCGAAGGCCCTGTAGGTCTGGGAATCCTTCATCTGTCGCATGACCTCGACGCGCTTGCGTCGCTGGTTCTGCCACGTGTTTCCGCAGCCGGGGATCGCTCCCAGTGTCGTGGTAGTACTAGGTCGTACTAGTAGTCGTCATGCTACTGCTAAGTCGAGAGTAGTAGTAGTAGTAGTAGTAGTAGTAGTAGTAGTAGTAGTAGTAGTAGTAGTAGTAGTAGTAGTAGTAGTAGTAGTAGTAGTAGTAGTAGTACTAGTAGTTGTAGTAGTAGTAGTAGTAGTAGTAGTAGTAGTAGTAGTAGTAGTAGTAGTAGTTGTAGTAGTAGTAGTAGTAGTAGTAGTAGTAGTAGTAGTAGTAAACTTCGTCCCCAAACCCAATCAACTGCAATCGATCCTGAATGCCGAAACTCCCCAATCCAAGGTGGATATTCTTATCTTCCTTTGCCACCGGCCGCTATGACAGCATCATGGGAAAGGACACTAAATCGACCCGAACTGCGAACAAAATCGTAAGCAGATTCTGCCTTATGATATGCATTGCCTTGGCTCGTGGTGTCCACTGGCTGGAACCTTGCCTCAATCGATCGATGATTGCTGTGTTCAGCTGAGGGCCCATGCAAAAGGCTTATAATGTATCGACTGGTGTTCTGAGGTGGAGCAGCCAGGTGGCTCCCTGCTGATGCAATTTCCCTTGATGGACTATCTACTCCGCCTTGCCGGGCATGTTCACAGACTGTGGGGTTCCTACACGTAGTAGTAGTTGTGATGCTTTAAGTTTGACTTCTGATATAATTAATATTCTTGGACGAGGTGGCTGGGAGCTTATGGCCACCCGCGTCCGAAGCGAACCCTTCTTTTTGGTTCCCTGTGCCTTGAACTGATCGATAGACTCCCATATATTCAAGCCCAGACCTAGGAGGTTATAGAAACAATCAATGCAACCAAGGACAATAATCTATGGGTTGAACAAGAGGATGACACGTGCCCAGTGGAAGAGGTCGAACTCCACCCAACTTGTCAAAAGAACAAGGAAAGATGGTAAGCTTCGAGTGAACCCGGGATGCAGTATTTTTCAGGTATATATATGGCAGTTAAGGTTGATACTCACATGTTTCTGAATGCACCTGAGGACGGGGAAAACGCTTGCACTTCGCAAGTCTGCTGTCTATCCTGACGGGTTTTGCAAAGAGATTGCCAGCCTCTTTGAAAGCTACCTGGCAGTGGCCTCATATACATCACCAAACATATATATTGAATATCACACTCAACTCCGTCTGTCCTAAGGAAACCGGGATGCCCGGCCCGCAGGTCAGGCATGAAGCTCTCGAGAACGAGCGATTGGTCCAGGACACCTTCCGTGTTTTGGGCATTGATGGGCCAAATTCCAGTTCAGGGTGTCTGAACCCGTATCCCCAGCATCTAGACCCTAAGCCACTATGGCATATACTACACTCGAAACCACCCCCAAACCCAAACTACGGGAAACCACAATCAGCATCTCAACCCCAAGAGTCGTACCCGAAGCTAAATAAAGCTACACTAATTTAACCAAAAACCCCTGAGCTACAACTTGACAGGTCCCGCCTGAACTGTTGTATTACTGGCGCGAGTAATCGTACCCCCTTCATTACTTTATAACTAGCTGCTGTGCACTGGTTAATCGTATTCGGTCTGAATAACACAGCCCTTCGGCCGGTTAGCAGTGCTTCCTCTAGCTTATGTACGTATACGATGTAGGGTGCCAATCCCCCATTAATTCGGATTCGGATTCGGGTTTGATGTGATGGGTGGGTCGGGTTTAGCAATATCCGGGATCGAGTATGTCGTTAAGCGACGACTAAGCTTAATTTCCTTCTATATTATCGTTGATGGTCTCCTCCTGCTGTAGCACGATCCACAGCTTCATCGTTGGTCTGCCAATTCCCAAATGCCCCGGGAGAACATGGCACAAGGCCCCAGTGTCTGCATATCGCAGCAGATTTCATTGAACCGGGTTCCAGGGCTCGTAAAGCAGTACTGCCGGTGCCACCGACTTTGTTGGATAGTAGACGTGGGTCAGTGTCGGCTTTGCCACTACTGCTGTAGGGCTTCCAGCTCGTTCCATGTGGTGCCCCGATCCGGCACTGTCGAGCACCGTAGTTGATGTGCCCAGACCGAAACCCGAGAAACCCAGGAAACTATAAGCTAGACTACTGACTTTCTAGATCTGAAAGCTAGCAACATTAATCCTTAATGGTAACAGCTTACAAGATGGGCCCGATCACTATGCGGTAGTGTTGGAATGCCCTGAACCTGATGAGGCTTGTAGGTAGCATACGTATAACTAA